AACTGTTCCCTTTAATTGATGAGACAGCTCCGTTAGCGCTATTCGTAGCCGTTCAAACCGGCCCGCCAGCCGAAAATGAGCCCATCCGAAAAGGGTCTAAGTGGAAGTCACTTTTCAAAAAGTTCTCTTTTATTTTACACTACCGGTCACCATAATTTACCGTGCTTTTCGCAGCATTTCTTACCTTTGATTCTTGTCCTTGCATTCATCCTTCTAAACGCCTGTAAATAATTAACCTGTTGCTTCAGCTCGTTCTCGAAGAATTTCGTTTTCTTAATGGGTAGTGTGAAATTCTACTCGAGACGATTCCCAGTAGCAAACGCTGTAGCAGCCGAGCTAAGGCGTCCCTAAGGCGTTCGTTGATGGTTCGAAAAGGACGTTGGGAGAGCGGATAGGACCAGCACCTTCTTTATCACTTTGTTCTCTAGGAATTCATTTATTTGACCGCTTCTTGTGACAGTAGGATCCTGTAATATACCCAATAATGTGGAGTGCTGTACAAAAACATTTGCCTCAGCCGGGTTTCGAACCCAGATTTCACTCTGGAGTGCACCAGCACTCCACTATGTTCTCTTTTCGTCACAACACTAAATACTGGGTTATTCCATCCTTTTTTGAAACAGTATTAGTAGGAGGAATTTCCTTCGATAACTTGACGCTATTTCCGACCAATGAGAGTTAGACTAGGGAGTCGCTTATGGTCATTGCAGACCAACTAGCTACGAGTTGCAGGCTTTCGTTCTGTCATGCACCTTAGTTGAAATAAAAGAGGAACTCAAATATTCTGGCAGCCCTCCAATAATTTGAAAGTACCCTTAGTATTCGTTTTCCCTGTTCTGCTGTCGTCATCAAAAGAGGTATTGGCTTTATGGTTGAGCTCCTCTTCGCATCGACGAGCTACGCAGGTCTCTACTATAGCATAGTTAAAGCTGTGGGAATCAGTGGGATCTACTGCCTTAACATTAGTATTTTCGAAGGATTGTGCAGAATCAATCGTTATATCGATGTTCATTTTTTGTCAACAGAGATCAGCCTTGAAAATAGCCACATTTTTGTCAATCCAGGTAGTTCCTTTTAGCTTTTCTCTTACTTTCCTCTCCTTCGGTTCTCAATCTGTGCTGCTTCTCATACAGATGAAAACATCAGAAAATTTCAGATTTCACAAATTTGATTCATTTTATAATTATACACTCATTTATGAATCTAGGAGCCTGCAATGGAAGCGCAAATTTTATAAAAATTGAAAGCGTTGTATAAGGGAATTTACGTCAACTATAAAGTGATACAACATTGGATTTCCTCTAGTAGCTGAATTATTCAAATGCTTTTTACTGCGAAAGAACTTGATAAGAAAAAATTCATTCCAAAGTAAGTTCATTAGGTGTACAAGTATTACTCTGCCTTTTTTTTTTCGTAATAACAGTGAAAATAGAGATATGTAGATTCTTCTTTTGTTTCAAAGTGCGTTGAAAACTCCATTTATTGATGTGCTTTTTGAATACAAATTGTTTTATATAGTGGCTTTCATGGGACATTGAAGATGACGACTTTTGCACTCAGAAAAGACCATTTGCGCAAGCTTAACTTTGCAGATTTATTAATCAATAGTAATTGAAATTACTTTTGGTATCGCTCAATTTCGCATTTTCTTGAAAACATATTCTATACCAAAATGCTCTCAAGAAACTACGCCACGGAACGACACCATGGTCATGCAATTTCGTTGCAAAAATCTTATCAGAAAACCAAAACGGCATGAACTTTGGCAATTTCGCTGCATCAATTCGCGCTGCAAAACTGATTGAAAACGTCATAGAAAAGCAGAGGAGGGAGGACTTGAGAGCGTTAACCTTAGCCGCCTTACTCATCGACATGTTACCGTCAGATTAAAAGGATAAAATAAAAAGCTCTCGGAGTTGATCAATCCATGAGAGATGCGCCATGCATTCGTCTTTGGTTTTTAAGTTTATTGGAGGTGATTGAATGCATACCTAACCTTCACAATGACTCGCGGTGGGTCTCCCGATGTATCGAGTCAGTGGTGTTTATCCTCCTAGACAAGACTGAGACATGTCTGGTACCGATTTACAACTCGGAGTGGTAAGTGATTTGCAAGGCCATGAGCGCGTGATCGAACCATGGAACTTGCCTATGACGCAGAGCTCTTCTAACCACTGCACCACTTGTGCTCAGATCGTTAGATTATCAGTTGGAATCAACAAATTCAAGTTAACAATCAGTAGATTCAAAAATGGCGTTTCTGGAGTGCAAAAGTCGTTATCTTCAAGTCTGTAAAAGCCATAATATATAATATTTTATGCATAAAACTATGTATATAAATAGAGTTTATAACGTGCTTTTAAGGAATAAAAAAGTTAACATATTTTTTTCCTTACTTTTATCAAAGCAAAAAAAAAAACGGTGGGAGTTATAACTGTACATCTAATATGAGTAAGACTTGAGGCGTATGTAGAAGCAAACAAACAATTTCTAAATTTTATTTTCTAATAGATCACTTTTGGTCCTAAAAATTCGCTTGCCACAGGAGAGCTGGTTTTTGTCTCGTAAGATATGTGTTCTTCCAGTCAGCACTTCGTTCTTTTGGGGTGTAGCTAACCAGTAAAGGGCGATTTAATATTTTACTGCTCTCGATTCCAAGTTCAATTTCGCACTTATGGATATGGCTGACTACAACTGTTGCAATCTTAGGGAAGCTCCAGAGCGATATGCAAAGCTCTGAACCTTCGGCGGGAAATGCACCTGCGTCCCCTCCTTTTCAAAGGGGCGCGCTTACCGTTGCACTACGGAGGCTCGTGTTCTGCCATTGTCTTTCTGTGATCTAAGCTATGTGTCAATCAGACATGGATACCAATATGGATGATAACAATCTGTAGAAAATCAAACTACGAAATAATGACTCTAAAGAGAACGAAGTTGATGAAATGCCAGCTTTTGAGAATCAAAAAGAAATCAACCACAAGAATTATGAGACATGACCAATACTCGGAATATCGCTTCTAACCAGCGATTACATTTTCTGAGAACCCACGTGTCACCCACAACAACACCGCGGTCTCTCTCTCTCTCTCTCTGGCACGTTCTCACCGCATCGGTACTATCAGGATGTTGAAAAACTCTGTCTCATCTTGTCAATGGAAGTCCTTTGAACAAAATAACTTCATCTTTAGGAGACAGAAATGTCGGCAGCGTCGCTGTTTTTTGGAATCATCATCCATAAAATCGTGGTGTCATTTTCACTTGGAATGCGTCTCGTTGAGGCACATTTCAGTCGTTTATATCTACCGATCGTATGCGTTGTCATCGTCGCTATCGTGAACACCGCTCGGAGGTACCGTTGGCATCTTTATTGAGGTTTGTGAAAGTTTTGATCATTCATAAGTTCAATTTTTCCTGCATAAGTAGGACGGCAGAGCAAATAACGTAATTTGCAACTTGAGTCGTGAGTTAAGTTATAAATGTTATAAATGCTTGAATTTTTTTCAATGATTTACGAACTTTTATTAGATTTATATAGATCTTTTAAATACCAAACAGCAGTGTAATTTGTCTTTTTTGTACGGCATATCTCTAATATATGTATCGCGACCTAAAATTAGAAACTGTTCCTTTCGACCGATTTTTTATAGACCCGCTTAGGACGACTTATGATAAGGATAGAACATGTTTTGAGCCGTTAGGTCTAGTGTTATACGGGCGCCTGTTTAGTCCTACCAAGACTCATCAGTAACTCCCTCCCTCGGTTCAGCCGATTCCCTGAAGCTAAACAATCCCCTTAAATTTTTTTATTCGGCGTCGATACCATCAAAGAGGATCATTTAACCTCAGGGAATTGGCTGAACCGAAGGAGGGTGCTACTGATGAGTCCTCAATAGGACGAAACAGGCGACTGTATAGCACCAGACCTCACTGCTCAAAACGTCATAACCTTATTAGGAAATGCATTTTGAATAATCATGACAGCGATAAGAAAATGTTTTAATTAAATTCCTGCCGAACAATGCGGTTAGTATCACTCGGAAAAAAGCGAAAACAGTGATTAGAATCGAATGAGGTTATTATTGGAGAAGCCGCATTGAGCTTACTGTGCACCATAGCTGGTCAACTATGACCAATGTAATCATAATTGCACGAATGCTGAGCGATATGTCTAACCTCGGTATGGGTTAAAAACACGGGCTCAGGCCGTGTTTGGGGTCAGAAGTCTTGTATCTGACTCAACATTCTTGGATTCATAATTACAACATCGCAACACCCTAAATAGCAGTAAAAAAAAAAGGATTTCTATAGATTATGACCACTGTTTCCTGTTTAGTATCGTTTAAATCATAGTATAATTTTTTAGCTCAAAAATGTTATAAGAAAGTAAGAAGGAAAGGAAAGAAGAAATATATGAATAAATGGAAGAGGGAAAAAGAAAAAGGAAAAAAAGAAGGAAAAAGAACAATAGAGGACAAGGAGAATAGTACAAAACGCCACATTCCTCTCCTTCAAATAAGTTTTTGCGTCACCATTTTTTTGTACTAAGTACTATGTTGTAAACATGGTATAGCATCATACTGATGGTTTTTCTTATGCAAACATCGAACTTCACAAAGGGAATAATGAAGTGTTCATAAACCAAATGCCGTCTTCAGTTATTATTTTATGGCTATCAAATTTAGCAGTATTTAGGCGTCAGCAGCAAACAGCCAAACCAAGAACATAGTCACCTGTATTTTATTGAGCTTTTCTCTTGGAGTATTCGTTTACATCATATTTTTCGAGGTAAGCAACTAAATTTGTGCTATAGCTCTGTTTTCCTTAATCGAATGTAAAATTCTGTACTGAAAAGTAATCACTTAGCAATGCAATTCACAGCGCACAAATCGTACTAAGGGTACCCTTATATCACTTAATAAAAATTTTCCAAGGCTTTCGAAACATTTGCAAATTCAAACTCAAAAGCTGAAGTCAAACTGAAGTGGGGCAAAATTAGCTTAGATGTGAAAATACACTGTTAGCCATGAACAACATACTAAGTTTCTAATACATTTTTACATGATTCACTATCACAATTCACTGAGTGGATTGCAGCTCTTTTTGATTCGACTCATTTCCTCGCTTTCATGCTTCACAAAGGACTTCAGACATTTTGCATGCTATTCAAGTTGCTGCTTCACGGCGTCGTGTTCTCAGTAAAAGTTTTGAAATGTTGACCGAGACTACCTTGGTGCCATCTTCGGGATAACCGAGCTAAAGCGTCCCTATTTCTCACACCTCAACACTGAAAATGAATGCTTTTATGTCAGATAGAAAGAGGAAAGATGGCTTTATTCTACAAGATCAAAAGCATATGTTAGGTCAACCATAGGAACTATGGTTAGTTCACGTCGCTCATGGCATTTGAAAAACTCTTCGAGTCCTCCTCAAACGATTGCTATATGATGAATTACTTAAAATGTAAAGAACTTGGTATAACTTTGTACGGCCACTAGCAATCAGACATACTGAAATAATGCGGAGGCGCGGATCACCGCTTTCACTCGCTTTCTCAAAAAATCGCCACCTAATTGAGACATTAGCGGCCATCAAAGCTTTTGATAATCAATGTTTTTTGCTTGGTGCACGGAGATCCTATAAAATATATAATTGCCTTACAACCGGAATTTTACCTTCTTACGAATTTGATATCACCTATGTAATAAGACTGATATGAATCAGGAAGCCATTTCATTGAGTTTTTCCAAGGCACAGCAGGAAACGCAGAGCAAAAAGGAAGAATTAGAATTTAATATTGATGGCAGACAATAACCACAAAACTTTACTGATGCTATCCTGCTAACTGTCATTTTTGAAATAAAATTTGTGCGAGGTGGGTCATTATCCTTCAAAATTCGGTGGCTTACGTTTCGGCCATTTCATAATTCTGAAAGAAAAATATCAATCTTGCGCAAGTTTTGCTTTGAAAGAAGACAGTTAGTGACAATTTTCAATAATCGTGGCGAAATGTAGTGAAAATAGGAATTTTGAATTGTTATTGGTGCTATGTGCTGGCAAACCGAACGTGATTATTGCTGCCAAGTCACAGAACTCCTAGGAGATTATCTTATCAGTTTTACGTTCGGAACACGATGTTCTGGAGAGACGAACCTGATCATGATTTCACGAACGCTGATCTTCATCTCTGTATCGGAAATTCAAGCAGGAAAAATTAAGAAGAATCAGGGGCATCAGACCTTGTTGACATACTGATGTGGACAATAGGGGTTATGGGACGCTCACTCAGGTTACCCGGCGACCATAAGAAATGTTTGTGAATTAAGACACTCCTCATAAAAAAGTGCTTTTTCGGGTTTTTTACCTAAATTAGTTTTTTCATTTTACGTCTCTATGCATGAGCTGGAATGCAGGCAAAAATAGACCAAGCATTTCATTGCAAAAACGCATATAGATACACGAACGAAAGAAAACAGCGCGCCTGTTTGACGGTATAAGTTCTTCCAATGGAAATTATGGAAGCATCGATAGCCTCAAAGAACCTCGGCCACTCATCGCAACACAGTCGTTTATCTTTGCGAACAATCGGATCTACAAGAGATAGAATCGAGATAGGACCTCTTGGAAAAACGCCAACACACGTCTTCAACTGCTAATTATCGCCATTGATAAAGGGATTAGCTACAATTGTTTGCCTTTAGTAAAAAGACGAGTGTTTATACAATGGAAAACCTTGGCGATGGGAAGGTGGCTATCCGAAAGTAGAATACATATATGTGAATCCAAACTATGATTCAGATATGCTTAGTTTAAATTGATTATTAACCTAGTTGCACCCAAAGAAATGCTTGATTGATATTTCAACATTTCAACAACCGACTTTTCCTTCAAACTAAGCGTCACAAAGCAATAAAACTTTCTATGACTGAGATCTTCGGTTTCGAGGAGAGCGATAACGTCCAAACGTTAGCTGAATGGTGCTCTTCTCAACTCTTGTGCTAATAACTTGATCACCAAAAATAATACTTCTTGAGCGATGTACTGTGAAGATGAATGGACGCACTCACCACTTATCCGAGCTTGTAGATCACATTTTGGATGAAACTTTCGTCTCTAATACTTAACGAATTATATGAAGGAATAAATATCCGTACGCTAGTTATCAAAAGAACGTGTCAGATCACATGAAAATCAGAACAACGTTGAGAGAATTATTCAAGAAAATGAGTCGAAGAGATGATTGAACGCATTATAACAGAAAGTTCTCACAGCTGAATTGTGTTGAAATGAAGGATGCGCTGAGACAAGCAGGATTCGCACTACATAAACGCTCTGAATATCTGAGTGGAAACTTATGTATAGCACAACTGCATTTTGGATGCTACTTCGACGTAGAGCAGTCGAGGAGCAATTATGTGGACTATTGGTACCAAAGAAGTTGTTGACCTTGTTGAAGATTCATAGAGGCATGATAACAAGCCCCCTCTAATCGAAGAGGGTTTGTCTGTTCTAAAGATTCATAGACAAACACGGGCATATCAGTTCAGTACTATGGAGAAAACCGACATTCGACAATAGTCAACATGGTAATAGGTTTGGGACGCATTGTAGTCCACACACACACACACACACACACACACACACACACACACACACACACACATACACACACACACACACACACACACACACACACACATACACACACACACACACACACACACACACACACAGAGAGAAATTGGATCACGTGAATGGATAGCATTAGGCAGAGGATAAAAGGACAAGGGTCTCGAAATTGATCAATCCCTGCG